AGCTGTGAATGGGGAAGTTGTTATGTTGATGAATGTCTTGTGTATGTTGTCAATCACAGTAAAATTTGAAAACAAACAAAAAGAAAATTGGAGAGAAAGGCTCATTAATAACCTGTGATATGTAGACGACACAACCTTCCTTGCTGAAAGTGAGGATGACTTGAAGTACTTATTGATGAAGAAGATTAAAGACTAGCCCAGTTATGGATTACACCTCAACGTAAAGAAAACAAAAATCCTCACAACTAGACCCCTAAGCAGTATTATGGTAAATGGAGAAAAGAAGGAAGTTGTTAAGTGTGTTCTGTTTGGATCCACAATCAACACCATGGAAGAAGCAGTCAAGAAATCAGAAATCTGCTGCAAAAGACCTCTTTAAAGTATTAAAAAGCAAAGATGTCACCCTGAGGGCTAAGGTGTGCCTGATCCAAGCTATGGTATTTTCAACCACCTCACATGCATGTGAGAGAGAGTTGGACAATGAATAAGGACGACCTAAGAAGACTTGATACATTTAAATTGCAGTTCGGTAAAGAATACTGACTATAGCATGGACTGCTAGAAGAATGAACAAATCTGTCCCGAAAGCTCAGCCGGAGGGCTTCTGATAAATGAGGGTGGCGAGACTTCATCTCCCGGACTGTGGGCATGTCATCAGGAGGGCAGTCAGTCCCTGGAGAAGGACATCATGCTCGGTAAAACAGAGGGGCAGTGAAGATGAGGAAAGCCCTCAACGGGATGGACTGACACAGTGCCTTACAACAGGCTCAAACACAACGACGACGGTGAGGCTGCGGCAGGAACGGCGGTGCTCCGTTCTGTTGTGCACAGGGTCGCTGCGCGTTGGAGCTGACAGCAGCTAACACAACACAGGGAACACTATCTACCTCAGAACAAAGGCGAGGCCCCAACAATACCCCAGGCTCTTCAGCATGGCTGCCTCCCTCGGTTCGGAGTTGGTCCCATTCTCCCCCAAGGCCCACGGCATCCTGAGTTCTCTGGCCCCTGCTGGCGCTTTGAGGTGGCCCCCTCCTGGCACAGCACCCTTGGTCACAATGACCTTCATTCAGCCTCTCTCGCTGCCAGGCTTCAGCCTGGAACATACCCCCACCCCTCCTCTGCTGGCTTGTTGTTTTGTTGTTAGGTGCCGTCGAGTCGTCTCTGACTCAGCGACCCTACGCACAGCAGAACAAAACTCCTCCCAGTCCTGAGCCACCTCCGTGATTCCTGCTATACTTGAGCCCATCGCTGCTGTCACTGTGTCAATCCATCTCGTTGAGGGTCTTCCCCTCTTTCGTTGACCCTCTGCTGGCTTATTGCTGCTCATGTCCTGGCTGGAAACCAGACTGCTACCACTGTCACCGCCTCCAGGAAGCCCTCCTGACTGCCCCTCCGCCAAATGTGCAGTGACAGGTCCTGCCCTTGACCGCCGCCCCTGGAGCCCTGGGCTCGCACACCAGTGGTGTACTTGTCTCGTTGCCCCTTGGGCCACACGGCTCATCACTCAGCACCGCTGGCCTCTCAAGGGGTGGGGTGTTGTCGGCACTGTCCGTCTCGAGGGGCATGTAGAGAACCGTGTCTGCAGCTGTCGGGATAGCACCAGGGCAGCTCCACCCCACGTGGTACAGAGAGCACCGCACCAGATAAACATGCTTCCTTCTTTCTGCCTCGAGTCTGGTAAAGGCTGCTCTTCTCTTCTGAGGCGAGAGGCGCAGCTCGACACCCCTGGAGGGCCAGGCCAGGGTCGGATGGCGATCCCGAGGCAGACAGACGCCGCGGCAGGGCCTGATCAGAATCCCTGCGGCACTGAGTTCTTCAGAGATTGGGAGCAGTGCCCAGCCCTGCCCCAGCCCTGGCTGGATGAGAGGCAGGCCAGGCTCCCGTGCCGGCAGGAGGGCTGGAGTCCAGAGCCTTCCTGTGGTTCAGGGTGGACACCTCCCTACAGGGCGCGGGCACAGATTGCCTGGGGGCAGCCAAAGGGGCAGGAAGGGGTCCAGAGCAGGCCTCACTCAGAATGCTGTGTGACCCTGGGCAAGTCTCCTGACCTTTTGGGGTGCTGTCCCCTGCTGTGGGGGCTCTGTCCATAGAGGTCCCCAGCACCCCCTGCTGCGGCTCTGTAATCTCCACCCCTCCCCCAGCCAAGCATGCTGACAGTCTGGGTGATTTATGTCCCTGTCCTCTCCACCCAGGCTGGCCAGGCTCTTCCGGGGAAGCAGACCCACGTGTTGGGGCCTCATCCTGGTCAGAGGCCAGGGGCCGGGGGAAGGGGAAGCCCAGTTCCCTGAAACAGGCCCGGGGCAACGCCATGCTCCAAGCTAACCTAGGCTGTGGGTAGAAACGGCTGGACAGGCCTCTGGCCTCAGGACAACAGAGACTAGTTTGTGGGTTTAGTACCAACCCAGTTTCGGGGCTGAGGCTGCCCTGAACAAAACCTCTCGCTGTGAACCAGGGCAGCCCCCAGGCGGCTCCCAAGAGGATGGGGTCCAGGGAGGGAGGCAGGGCGGGGCCGATGTCTTTGTTCCGAGCTGCCAGCCGAGTAATTCCCAGTGTAGACGGGGGAGCAGCTCCCGGAGATCAGGTGACTGGGGTCCCGGGGGGCCGGGGCGACGTGGTGCATTGTGGGGCAGGAGCCACTCCATGCTTGCTGGGCAGGAAGGAAGCACACACGTTCCGGGTGGAGGGGGTGTGGCTGGCCAGCCCCACGTTCAAAGTCACCTCCATTCCCAGCTCTCGGCCCCCAGCCTGTCCAGTGCCTGGCCAACTGGCTGCCTCTGAGGGCAAAGCCAACCTCCCTGTTACACAGACCGTTCTCTGGTTCTCAGGAGCCCGAACATTTAGCTTGACCTTCAGGACCAGCAAGCCAGCCGTCCCCAAAGCCCCAAAGGATGTCCAGAGAGCTCTGGAGGAAGAGGCTTCCAGTGTTCTAGAAGGACCTGGGAGGCAGGAGGCGCTGGAAGGACCCAGGGCGAGGCACCAGGAGCCAGAGCTGCAACTCCAGCCCCTCGATGGGGTGAGGGGCCGACTTGCTTCTCAGACAGGAGGGGTTTCGGAGTCTGCAGCCTGAGCCACTGGCATCAGCCTCCGCAAGCCAGCCCCACGTGCTGCCTCAGCCTCCAGACCTGACTGTGTCACACATGGGGCTGCAGGAGTGTGGGGCCTACTGGTATTGAGTCTGCAGGCCTCCTCAGGCTCTAAGGCAGGGGCACCTCGGCTCCACGCACAGGGTCGAAACCACGTGGGGAGATGAGGAAACTATGCTCCCTGCCACCCTGTCCAATGCCACAGCACACAGGTCAGCTCCAGCCACAAACACCTGGCCCCAGGCCCTGCATCTGCAGGTGAAGCCAGGGGTGGCTGAACGTATGACACCGAACACGAGCTGCAGGGGGTGGCAGGACCCACAGAGCTGGCCATGGGTTTAGGGTGGCTCACTGCCCCACGTGAAGGTGCCAAAGGAAAAACTCCACAAAGGCCAGGATCTTTGTCCCGTTGATGGCTTGGTGCCTCGAGCCTGGCCAGCACCTGGCCCCAAGCAGGTGCTCAAACAGCTACCGCATGCAGGAATGAATGAATGAATGAATGAATCAGCGGGGGAGGATGGTGAGAGGAGACAACAGGAGCAGTGAGTCTCCAAGAAAACTAAGGCCAGTCAAAGTCTCACACCTGGACACAGGCCCACAAAAGGGCCACTGTGATCCACTCACCACGGGGGCCTCGGGCACTCTTATTTCTTGGCGGAAGGTGTGCTGGCTAGGCCTTCCCATATAACACAGGGTAGTTTGGGAAGCCCACTAGAAGCCTGTGTCCCAGGCCTGCCCGGAGCAGACTGGGGGTCCTATGTAGCCTGGGTTACGTGGTTTCCACACCCAGTGGGCACTTGGCAGACATTTATAAAGAAATGAATGTGTAGAGAGAGACCAGCCACAGGGGCTGCAGTATCCTCCTCTCCCTGACTGGCCCCAAGCTTTGGGGGCCCCTGCAGCGTCCTCATCAGCCAGCTGGGAGAGACGACCATTTAAAAAATGACTCCCATGGCCGCTCACTATGAAACAAGAGCCGGGGGAAGAGGGAAGGCCATGGGCAATTTTCCTCAGCCTCTTTTCCCCAGGGACAGTCCCTGGGGATACACACAGCAAAGAGACTTGGTGACGAACGGTAAGGTTGGAGGTTCAAGTCCACCAAGAGGGGCCTGCTGACCTACTCCCAAAACATCAAGCATTATGACAACTCTATGGCACATTTTTACTGACACACAAGGGGTCACCACGAGTCAAGGTCAACTCTATGGCAGCTGGTAGTAGTTTCCACAGGGAGCAAAACCAAGGCAGCAGCCCCCTAGCTGGCCCCAGCGGCCTCTGCCTCGTCTCCTGGGTTCCAGGCTCGTGCCGTTCCCTCCCACACGGCACCAGGGTTGATCTGCGTGGTCAGTGGGACACAGTGGAAGTGAGGGTGTGCTAGGTCTGATGCGACATCACAAAAAAGACAGTGGCTCCTAGCTTGACTGAGTGCTTATGTCTCCCAGGACACCCGTGCTTGTGCAAAAACCCACGTGGCAGGGGACCAGGCTCTCCAGCCAAAGGCCACGTGAGGGAGCCTGGAAGCCCATGTGGCAGGGAACCGGGGTCTCCAGCCAACAGCCATGTGAGGGAGCCTGGAAGTGGCTCCTCCGGCCCCAGGTGAGCCATCAGGTGATGCAGCCCTGGCCAACACCATGGCTGCAAGCTCCGGAGAGACCCAGGACCACCCCCCAACCACCCCCCAGCTCAGTGGCCCAATTCCCAACCCAGAAAAGACAGCTAAGAAGCACTTGTTTCAAGCTGTTAAACATGAAGACTGATTGTTTTCTAGCATGGCTTACAAATACAAAGATATCAAAGGAAGAACAGGCTCAAACCTCAACCCGGCTGCTGTGCCAACACCACCGTTCTGGTCAACGGCATGGCTGGCCAACAGAGGCGAAGAGAAAACTCAGAGCACCCAGGGGAGGCGGCCAGACTCACCTAATTCCGTCGGCTTCAGCAGTTCGTCCAGCGTGTTAAAGAAGGGCAGCTTCACCAGGCGCACTTCTGGCTTGAGGGTTTTGGCGGGCAACCGTCCGAGTCCATTTAAGTACTTCCCGTAGAGCACGGGGTAGTCAATGTTGGGCCCCGAGAGGGGCGTCCTGGGCAGCGTGCTGGCCCGGTCGTAGGCTGAGTGCATGGTCAGGGGCTCCAGGGGCCGGTGGGGCTGCGGCACAGGCTCGGCGTTCTTCTTGGCGTAACGCGTCTCGTACAACTCCTTGATCTTCTTGAACAGCTCAGGGCTGCAGTCAAACTGGACCAGCTGCAGGGCCCGTGTGACGAGTTCGTGTTTCAGTCCGCTCTTACTCCGCCCGACAAAACCCAGAAGCATCTGAAGGTCGGAGACTCGAAAACTCATCACCATGTTCTGCAGGAGAGCAACCACAGACACACACACGTGAGAGCGGCCACATCGGGGGTCTGCCGCAACACGGGTCTGCCCTGGGATCTTCCAGGCCCAGATGGAGGGCCTACTCCCGGAGACACTCTCCCAGACACACATAAACCCAATCAAGGCACCACCGGGAGCTACAGACTAGGACTATGCTCCTTGGGTTTTCTTGGCTGTCATCGTCATGGAAGCAGACCGCCAGGCCTGTCTTCTGCAGTGCCACCAGGTAGGTTCCAACTGCCAACCTTTAGTAGGTTGGCACAAACCGCTTGCACCACCCAAGGACCTATCTGTACCTACCCATAAAAACCCACTACTGTCACATCAATTCCAACTCAGAGTGACCCCAGAGGGCTGAGGAGAACTGCCCCATAGTATTTCCAAGGCTGCCAGTCTTTTGTGGAAGCAGGCTGCCTCACCTTTCTCCCGCAGAGACGGTAAGTTTGAACCACCAACATTTCGGCTAGCGTACGAGTGCTTACCCACTACAGCACCAGGGCTTCCTTTTAGTAGTACCTGTTCTGCAGAAACTCATCCACTGCTGGCCCCGCCCTCCCTTCATTTCAGTACCAGCCCCTCTCCAGCCCACTGCTCAGACTCACCCTTCCAGTGGCACCCCCCACCCCCCAGCTCAAGCCCTGCCCTCCTCCTCCCTTCAAAACTTCCTCGGCACCGCCAACACAGCAGAAGCCTGCCTCTGGCTCCCACCCCACTAACTTCTATTTTAGGTTCTCTTCTCCCATCTTCTAGCCTGAGAGCATCCCCAGGGCAGGAACTGGGAGTCTTGTTTTACCGTAAGTAGCTTCTGCCACTCCCTAGCTGGCCAACACCGACAGTCTCTCGGACCCTCAGTCTCTATCTCCATTGCATGGAGATGGTGACAGTCCCTACCTTATCAGGATGCGGAAGGAACCAGGTGAGGCAGCTGCATAAAGCCCTTGGCAGTGAGGGCTCCACAAAGTCAGGCCCAACAGTGCTTTCCCTCCGGTAGACCCAAAACCCAAATCTACTGCCATCAAGTTGGTTCTGACTCGCAGCAACCCTGTAGGGCAGAGCAGAACTGCGCCATGGGGATCCCAAGGCTTGCATCTTTCTCTCGTGGAGCAGCTGGTGGGTTTGAACCACCAACCTTTTGGTTAGCAGCCGCACACTGGCCACTGAGCAGCCAGAGCTCCTTTAAGTGCTGCTACCCACAATTTAGGAGCTTGGAGGTTTAGTGCCTAATGCATTTGACTGCTAACCAGAAAGCTGGCGGTTCAAACCCACCAGCCACTCCTCGGAAGGAAGGTTGGGCAATCTACTTCCATAGTGATACTGCCTTGGAAACCCAAGGAGGGGTTGCCATGAGTCAGATCCGACTCGACGGCAATGAATTTGGTTTGGTTTGGTTACCCACAATTTAATCAGAAACTACCTGCCAGGAACTGGGCCAGACTATAGACATACTTAGCTCAAAGCCTTAAAACAGCTCTGCAAGGCTTGTGTCAGCTCCCTATTACACCAAGAAGCAGCGGCTTGGGAAAGCCGTGCTGAGATTCAAACCTAGGCCCCACCCTGAATCCAGGAGTGGTCCATCTGCCACCATGCCCCTGGGCACCAACACGGACCTGGACGACAGCAATGTGACCAAACCATCTGCTCATCTCCCCCTGGCACTGAGAACACAGGGTTCAGATACTTCTCTGGGGTGGGGCCGTCCAGTGCAGTACAGGGTGGCGAGCGGCATCTCTGGCCTCCACCTACTCGATGCCAGGACACCTCTCCAGTCATAACCCCCAAGAATACATTATGCAGTGTCCCCCGGGGGCAGAATCACCAGGGAGAGGACCCTTGGGTTAGGGGAGCCACTGAACCCCAAGAGACTATGACTCCCATAATCACCTGATGTCCTGGGACATTGCCCACATTTAAATCCACGCACTGAGTGGGGATGGGAGGGGAGTCACAGGGGCTGAGGGTCTCCCTGGTTTACATCGACTGACCCATCAGAGGTTTATTCTGGTGCACGCTGTGCGCAGGGAGCAAACTCAGTGTTTTTTCCTAAATAACTAAGCCACTGCTGACACGGGGCCAGATATTCTCCGGGTGGGGCCCTCCTGAGTACTGTAGGGTACCGAGCAGCATCCCCAGCACCCTCCAATGACATCCAGAAATGTCACCAGGTATCACCATGTCCCCTGGGAGACGGGGACAGAACTGGCCCAGGCTGAGAACCTTGGGTCTATGGGAGTCTCTGGGGACCCAGCAACTTGGAGAAGCTGCTGAACCACGGCAAAGCAATGACTGGGGCTTGGCACTCACTCCCTGGCAGGGCCCCTCTGTCTGACCCAAACCAAACAGAAGTGTTCAGTGTGTCTCAGTGTTTGATTTGGGCTGTCTGGGGGTAGCGGAGCTGCCCACCACGGGACCCCAGGAGTCAAGGGGAAAGGTAGTGCATCCATGGGCTACAGAAGGAAGATGGCCTCAAGGAAGAGGTTGGCATCATTCTGGGGCCACCCACACTGACCCCCAAGGTGACCTATGATAAATGAAAGCTGTTGGGAAAAGGAAACGTCTAGAGAGGCCGGGAAAACAAAGGTGCGAGTGGCAAGGAAGGATGTAAAGACCTGGTGTGCCAGGCGGGCCGTCACAGAAACCAACGACTCAACCGGACAAACCCTAAAAAGCTGAGTCGGGGCCAGGCAGTAACCCTGCGTGGCTGCTTCCGTATTGACGGGCGTCCCAGGAATCAGAAGTCCAGGGTTCGAATCCCGACCCTGCTCAAACTGCCGGATGGCACCGGGCTGAGCAGCCAATCCTGTCCAGCTGCAGCCCCTCAGTGTCAGTGTGACCTGGAACCGGCTGGAAGCCCCACGCTCTACGATGCCAGGGTCTGGCTGCAGACGGAGGGGCCGCTGGTCTCCACAGCAGGGACTGCCGGTGGAGTGGCCCAGTGCTGTTTGCAGAAATCAGACAGAGGGCGCTCCTGCCCCCTACTGCCACTGCAGACGCGGAGTGCCTCATCAGTGCCAGGCCCTTCAGGGGGCTCTGCGCGTCCCTCTACTCCTGCCACTGCGACACAGAGGGCCTCATCCATGCCAAGCACCCCAAGGGCCTTCTAACATTGCTGATCCCTTACCAACTGTGCCCCTTATGCTGGTGAGGAAACTGGCTCAAAGAGGGGACACAGCTGGCCCAAGGCCACCCCACTTGTAAGTGGGAGGGCTGGCATCTGGCTCCTGAGGCCAGCTTCCTTCTGCTTATGCCCACCTGCCTGGGAGCTGTGGGACCCTCACTCACTAGGACACCCCCTGCCCAGGGACCTGAATGGCCCACTGGCCCTTGGCGAGTCTGGACGCTTCCTACCTTAAGCAAGAGAAAAACACATGCAGACGTTTCTCCTGGAAGATGCCAAGGCCTGAGAGGGAGAGGCGATGTCACAGGGAAGCTTGAGCTCTGCTACCAAGCAGCGTGTGACCTGACCCCATGGACAGCAGCCCACCCCTGGGAGCCCCTGGCCACCCCTGCACCCAGGCTGAGCAGGGAGAGGGGCAGACGGGCAGCCCGCAGCACAACCCTTGGGCTTCCATATGCTCACGACTCAAATTTCCCAGCAGCTGCCACCCCCAAGCAGTCTGCCCTTGGTGCTGGTGGGGGGCAAAGGGGGGGGGGACGGACATCCAGGAAGAACCCCACGCGCCAGAGAGCACTTCCTGCTGTGGTTTCGTCCTGGCCCGCCTGCCTGTCAGAACCGTGTCTATAAACAGCTTCCAGAGCAGGCTTTCAGCTCCGGACTTGTTTGGAAGCTGCGTGGAGATACAACAGCCTTGAGAGGAAGGCTGTGCTGCACCTCGTCTTGGTGATGGGCTCGTCCAAAAAACAGGAGATCGGTGCCACACAGCTATACTCCCCTACCCTCACCCCAAACCACCAGGTACTTTTCAAACGTTTCAGATTTCAAACTTTCAACAAGCCCCATGTTCTGTTTTACACCCCTAAACAAATCTCCAGCTCCGAAAGCAAACAGGGGAGCAGTCCCACAAGCCCCACAGCTCTGGAAAGAAAGGGGACTTTCCATTGTACCCACAGCACTCAAAGTGGGGAGCAAGAGACTAAGGGAGCAAGAAGGTGCCAGGCATCAGGGAAGCTATGCTGCAGACAAGTCCCTCGGAGGGAGAGTCACGTTTTACAGGACCTGAAAGAAAGGTCAAGTCAATTTAATTGGGAGTAGGGGGCCCCAGCCATGAAAGGGTCAAGCAGAGTTCATGAGATCGCATTTCAAGACCCTGGACAGAATAAGAGGAGCACAGCCCCTACCCTGCGGCTGCTGCGGAGGGGCCCAGGGTCACAGCTCCACAGCCCCAAGAGGAGGTTAGATATCTGGGCTCTGGGGGGCTTTAAGTGGTGAGGTTGCTATCACATCTCCAGGGCAAGGTGGCAATTTCTCAACTACCCCTAGAGAGAGAAGTATGTGCAATGTGGGTATGGGGGGGATTTGAGGGGGCTGAGGGCTGTGTTCAGATCCCAGCGGGAAGGGAGGTGGAGGCAGAGAGGGTAGAGCAGAAAGCTAGCCTTCTCAGGTCAGGGCCTTGGGAAGGGTACCCCAGGAGGCGTGGGTGGGGCCACAGTCCTAGAAGGAGGTCTAGGCCCCTCAACCCTACCTTGCTAGTCAAGACAAGCGTTTTGGAGCCTTGCCCCAGAGAGGTCTGGGAGAAGGCAGAGTCCTGGGGTAGGGATGCTCTGAGCACCATCCCAGGAGGGTCAAAAGAGGTCCCAAGCTAGGAGAGGGGACTGCAGTCTCTAGGTCCCCTTGACTCAGAGTATAAAACAAGAAGCATGAGGAGCTATCCAAAGAAAGAGGTCTCCCCTGGAATGAGTTGGAGACCTTCCAAGGATCAATACAAGAAAAAGAGGGGCACTCCGAAGCCACTTCGAGCGGCTTAGAGAACCTGCCCCAGGGCTGGTGAGGAGAAAGGGGCCCCGGTGACCCTAGA